GATTGATGGGTTCCATTAACAGTTTACTTAGACAATTTTGATCAACCTTACAACACCCCTAAATCATTTTAAGAGTGAGAAAATACGGATTTTCACTATTAAACGTGAAGTTTAGCTTGATGGGTTCCATTAACGGTTTACTTAGACAATTTTGATCAACCTTACAACACCCCTAAATCATTTTAAGAGTGAGAAAATACGGATTTTCACTATTAAACGTCAAGTTTAGCTTGATGGGTTCCATTAACGGTTTACTTAGACAATTTTGATCAACCTTACAACACCCCTAAACTATTTTAAGGATGAGAAAATACGGATTTTCACTATTAAACGTCAAGTTTAGCTTGATGGGTTCCATTAACGGTTTACTTAGACAATTTTGATCAACCTTACAAGACGCCCCTAAATCATTTTAAGGATGAGAAAATACGGATTTTCAATATTAAACGTCAACTTTAGCTTGATGGGTTCCATTAACGGTTTACTTAGACAATTTTGATCAACCTTACAAGACGCCCCTAAATCATTTTAAGGGTGAGAAAATACGGATTTCCAATATTAAACGTCAAGTTTAGCTTGATGGGTTCCATTAACAGTTTACTTAGACAATTTTAATTAACCTTAAAACACCCCTAAACTATTTTAAGGATGAGAAAATACGGAATTTCAAAATTAAACGTCAAGTTTAGCTTGATGGGTTCCTAAATCATTTTAAGGATGAGAAAATACGGATTTTCAAAATTAAACGTCAACTTTAGCTTGATGGTTTCATTAACGGTTTACTTAGACAATTTTGATCAACCTTACAAGACGCCTCTAAATCATTTTAAGGGTGAGAAAATACGGATTTCCAATATTAAACGTCAAGTTTAGCTTGATGGGTTCCATTAACAGTTTACTTAGACAATTTTAATTAACCTTAAAACACCTCTAAACTATTTTAAGGATGAGAAAATACGGAATTTCAATATTAAACGTCAAGTTTAGCTTGATGGGTTCCATTAACGGTTTACTTAGACAATTTTGATCAACCTTACAAGACGCCCCTAAATCATTTTAAGGGTGAGAAAATACGGATTTCCAATTTTAAACGTCAAGTTTAGCTTGATGGGTTCCATTAACAGTTTACTTAGACAATTTTAATTAACCTTAAAACACCCCTAAACTATTTTAAGGATGAGAAAATACGGAATTTGAATATTAAGCGATAAGTTTGGCTTGATGAGTTCCATTAACAATTTTACTTTAAGTGGTGCTTCATTTATTTCAAGATATATTATTCTATGTTTTCTGTTTCGACTTTAGATGAAAGTGAAGAATATTATGCTTGGGTTTGTTGTTTTCATTAGAAGCATTTCGCTGGACAAAGCGTACGCTAGTAAAATAGAGTTTTCTCTACTTTCAATCTCAGAAAGTAAATCTAAATTTTGCTGAGAAATGTTTTGTTAGAAAGAAGTTTGTTTGAATTTACTGCAAGTTGTCTTTTAACTCGATATTTATTTTAAGGATGAGATTAGAGATAGTTTGATTGAGAATGGATAGTATTTTATAGAAAAAGTTCGGGGTGGTTGAAGAAAGTAGTGTTGGTGTTTTGATGGAAATTATTAGAATGAATTTCAGTAGCTTTTAGCTTCTATTGATAATCAATTGGGAAATCTCTGAATTTGTCTTAGCAAATAAGACGTTATTTTTCAACTTCGTAATCTCTCGTGAATGCTATTTGTGCATTCGTATTTCACAAGAACAGTCGTTCGTGCATTCGTGTTTACGAGAGGAATCGTTATTATTAGTATTTTAACGAGAATAGTCGTTTTAATTTCCATTGCTTAAAATGTTATACGAGTTATCTCAATTGCTTTTCCATTCATTTTGCGAAGGGATAAAAATATATAAAGGCGGTGGCGTCAAGCTTTGTGAGCACAATTAAATTTGTGTTTCTGTTTCAATTTGAAATCAGAGCAATTCACAGTTTTACTTTAAGTGGTATTTCATTTATTTCAAAATATAGTTTTCTATGTTTTTTGTTTCGACTTAAGATGAAAGTGAGGAATATTATGCTTAGGGTGCTGCTTTCATTGGAAGCATTTCTCAGCTTCCGCAATATTGTTCCGATATGAAATCAGGCAAACTAATTAATAATGCTTTTTTTCTTTACTTGGTTTTGATATCCCACAAAATTCACAAATATTCAATGGCGAGTCGGGAGAAACTACTGTAGATCACTTAGACGATTAGAAAGATTAGCGCAATCCTGCATCAAAACAAAAAACAGCAATTCCTTCCTCGGTGTGTTTATGTAGCAAACATTTTTGCTCTTTCTTTGTGTTTACTCAAAAACCACTGATATCAACGTCTGTATACAAAAACGACAGATTAAAAAACGGTTTCTCCTGGTTCTGCTCATTGATTGCCGCAACTGACTGCACAATAGTACATCATCGGCTTCCCCTGTTCCGATAAACTCGCAGTATATATCCTTTAGTTTTAGTTTTGAGCTTTTACAGTTTTTCAGGCACTCTTTTTGTAAATGGTTGTGCTCCGGTAGCGGCTCCAAAAAACAAACGTCCAAAAAATCGGGTTTATTAGATGCTCGCAATGGCACACTCCGAACAAACTCCGTCGACCAGTTTCTTGTTGGTTGAAAAAATATATTTACTTGGTTTAAACAGCGTTTGTGTCCCATTTTTTGCCAGGAACTAAGCTATAAATTAAGTTATCCAGTTAAGTGTTTGAAAAAATTTTCAATTTGATTCGTTGTTGCGTTTGATTTATGCTCGCCCGTACTGAAACTTTTGTGCCATGTCACCGCTGATCATCCATTTAGCAAGGGAGAGAAAGTTCTCAGGACTGTTTCCCCATTATGCAGGCCTGTTCACAAGTGAGCATACGTATTTTTCTACAGACATGGTTGTACCTGGATCTTACAAGATCCGACCTGAGTGAGACATGTTTCTACCTGCCGCAGACATGATAACGTCTGACTGCAAACTTCACAAAATCAGACATGATTACGTCGCCTCAGATCCTGCAGTATGGTATATGCGTTTAACTAACGTGCATTTTGTGCAGAGTTTGTTTAACGCTCGTTTTGTTTCACAATTTAAGGCTTGAATTCAAACATGAGTTAATCATTCATTTTCAATAATATTTCCAATTTAAGGCTCATTTTATGGCTAATTATTTTTTGACTTATATTTCCTCCATTTTAAGGTTGTTCTACCCCCCCTTTACGCTGAGGGAACGATGAAATTGGAGTGGTAGTTCGAAAAACTGATAGAAACGGAGGAAACATAATTTAGCAAGCTTTTTTTTGGTTTGATCAAATCATTTTATTCTTTTTTGTTTCGATCAAATCATTTATTTGAAAAAAATCAAAATTCCCTTTTACCCATTTCAGATAATTGATTTGAAAATGAGTTTATCCGACTTTGCATCGTCGAGGCAACCAGTGAAAGGAGAAAACCATATTGCCGGATTATCTTCACAAAAAAACTCGCCAGGTTAGTTCACAAGAAACCCCCCCCCCCCACCTGAACTAACCCCTCTCGCCACCCTGAACCAACCAGTCCCCACCACCAACTCCCAACTAAACTTGGAACCAACAAATGCCCTTCACACCCCCACTCCTCCAACTGAACCAACCCATACCCTTCACACCCCTCCCTGAACTAACCCCTCTCCCCACCCTGAACCAACCAGCCCCCCACCACCACCTCCCAACTAAACCTGGAACCAACAAATGTCCTTCACACTCCCCCTCTTCCAGCTGAACCAACCCATACCCTTCAACCCCCCTTCTACTTCCCGAACCAGCGCAAACACCTTTTCACCTGAACAAATTAAATTATTAAGCTGAGTTTATGATGTTGTTGATAATTAACCATTCTTTTAATTACCTTATGATACTGAAGATACCATTTTAGACTTATTTTTCTACGTTTTGAGTCTTTTTTAAAAAGAGTGTAGCAAAATCTACCAGCGGACATCAGAGCAATTTAGATACATTTCGTGAGTTCGAATATGCCGGGTAAAAGTGCTCAGCTTACGCGTGTAAGCAGGTGTGAGCATGTTCCGATCAGGCATGATCATCTATCCTGCAGGTGTGAGCATGTTCAGTTCAGGTATGATAATGTGTCCTGCAGGTGTGAACATATTCAGTTCAGACATGATCATGTATCCTGCAGGTGTGAGCATATTCAGTTCAGGCATGATCATGTATCCTGCAGTTGTCAGCATAGTCAGTTCAGGGCATGATCATGTATCCTGCAGGTGTGAGCATGTTCAGTTCAGGTAGGATTATGCATCCCGCAGGTGTGAGCATATCTTCAGTTAGCACACCTGATGCAGGTCTGATGCAGATTTGTGCATGCCGAATATAGACATGCTGCACATCTGTTATAGACATGAGTTTTGTTTAATTTTACGATGATCAGATATGATTATGGCCAAAAAGTTCGGTACAGGCGGTTAGTACTTAAAATGACGCATCCGGCTACGTAATTAATAAGTTAACAATACGTAATTGTATCATATCTGGATTTAGTGAAGTGATAGTTTACTGATACTTCGATTTAATGCGCGGACGCCCTACTTCTATAATCTGCAATGAACCATATTCTTCCTGAGCTTTTTATTGATTTTTCATATGTGAATCAGAGGAAGTAGTACTCCAGGGAGCGAAGCTTGTGAAATATCTTAAATATTGCTTGTCAAATTGCTTCTCTTACTTTCGAAAAAGTCTACATATTCTAAGCTACTGCGTATAGAACCTTTTGAAATCTCATATGAAATTATCATTTCATCAGTTTTTGCAAATTTCGAATAGGGGCCAAGAAACAGTTTTTTCTCTCGAGACTTCCAAAAAGTGCTGAAACACTTTTGAAAACTATACTACTCGAAAAAATTGTAGTACCGCTCCTGCTTGAACTCTACTATATCTAAGTCATTTTGCATCATTCCAGAAACCTGACTTTCACCAATTTGGTCCATTATAATCTATGGAAGATTACTCAAATATTCAATTATAAAAAAATAATTACAAACATCAAAGTAGCCAACATTTGCTTTTGAATTATGTCACGTATAGACGTGACTTGAAGTACAAGTTAGCATTGCAGATATACATTGAATTTATCAAATGCAAAAAAGTAACTCAAAGAACAAATTTTTTAGTCTAAATTAACGAATGGACGGGACTTGTAAATGTAATTTTTGCACTGGGTTGTTGGTGAATATGATTCAATGACGTTTCATGTGAATTGATTGTGTTCAGAGTTTCGGTTGGAGCAGAAAGAAGTCTGTCTTTGAGGAGTTGAATTGCGTTCAAAATAGCCTTTCTGTCTTTTTTAGACTCTATTCCCATTTTTTTCAGCTGTGTTGTTTCTAGGTTTAGAAGTTCGTGTAGTTCGTAGATGTGGTTGGAAGCGAACATGTTTCTGTAGACGAAGAAGTTGTGTTGCATGAGCCATTGATCTACTGTAATGAGGGAATCCAGAGGTCGAGGCAGAGTTCTAAACCAGAAACAGTTCATTCATATCATGAACTTATTCTACTCATTTCATTTTATTTTTTTTCAAGAGGCCATTTATTCGTCCTCGAGGAAAGGAGCCATGAATTACCAGCGAGTTACCCACCCTCACCTTCAAGTTTTTGAGGTTTTGGCTATGCAAGTCCCTTCTTTCTCATTCTTATTCTGTAAGTCAATTTTTTGGAGCAACCATTAAAAAGTTTTGAAAATGGCTTTGGGTGCCTAAATAATTAGCGGCGCAAGAAATTAGCAAAATGTTGCAGTATTTTTTTGAAGATCTCGGGAAATAGCTGCCCAAAATTCTTCGAAGAAACTTTCTCGTTTTTTTTTCCTCGCAAAAATCTTAGATGAGTCCTTGTTTGTGGCCGTGATTATTAATAGTGGCTAGTTTTCAAAAGTGTGGGAGTTGTTTAGACAAGCATAAAATTTCGCACTTTTGTATGGTTGAGGGCTTTTTTCTAAGTTTTTTGAATCTTTTTTAGTTTTTTTTTAATTTAAAGAAGATCAATTTCTGAAGAAGAAGATGATTTCCGATCTTAGAAATTATTTACCCGATATAAGAGGAAGAGTAATTTGAAAACATCGGTTTCTTTTCGTCGGCTAATTGTAACATTCCGTAATTACTCTTCATGCTCTCGTTCCACGTATTAGCTGCGCTGCTAGCCGAATCATCATATAGCATATCCCAGAGTCTCGGTTGTCGCATGAAAGTCTCCAAGTTTTCTCTTAACTGTGCGAAAACTGGTCGGCAGTTTCTGTCACCTGACCAGCAGTCAGAAATCAGTTTACCGAGTGCTTTCGGAGTCAGACTCGGAATTGGAAGTCGTTTTCCATTCGAGAGAAAATCCAAAATCTAAAAGTGAAATCATAATTAGGTTAAGATATTGTACATATTCCCTCACACATGTTTTCAAAAACTGCATTAATTATTGACATCACTGGTTTCGCATATGCTGCTTCGTATGTTTCGAAAATCACTTTTTAAAAAATCTGTCGAAATTTTTTGCTTTTTCGTAGTTCATCATGTGTGAACGGAACATTCGAGTCTTCGATCGCTGTGGTCTTTTTTCTGATAAGTTAATACTTCGGTAAAAGTAATTTTAATTAGCACATTTTTGAATGATCGCCCGTGTATAAAAGAAACATAAACTTTACCCTGTGTTGAGTCATATCTGCATACGGAACCAAGAGCGAAATGTTCTCGGGGCCAGGTGATGGCGAAAATTCTCTAACTTCATTCGAATTTTCCCCCGAACTAATCTGTTCACCATGTTCCGAGTTCGAAATGGGGGGAGCGTTACTTGTTGTTGAGTATATATGATCGGAAGATACTGCGCTGAACGTCGAAGTTAGGTTCTTTTGAGGGCTGCTTCGATTATTCGGAATCTTTGCTAAGTTTGGTCGATTGGGGCTACTTTTTGAGGTTTTTGAGGTGTTTTGGGTATTTTCATGTTGGTTATTAGAAGAGTTATAAGTAGTTTCGTCGCTTGAGGACAGCGTCATGCAATTCATGAGTTCCCACGCGATCACCGCGAAACTCCAGACGTCGGAAGCGGAGGAATATTTGCCACTTTGCAGCACCTCCGGAGCACACCATGGGGTCAGGAAGTCCATTAACTGAAAAGGGAATTAACTTGATTACTTTTTTAGTTATAAACGCAATCTATTAGTTATAAGTCCATTAAAAAAATTCAATATGTCGATCGCTAAGTTAGCCTAAAATTGAAATAGCCAAACACCTTGAAATACCCAATTGTATAACTTGAAATGACATTCAAAGGTGTCTAATTAACACACCCTTGAATTGGTCAAAAGTCGATTTGAATATAAAGTAGTTTATCTGGTTTCAATCGAAATCAAATAAGAACAAAAGTGCTGCTACTTTGTACTACTACAAATCGTACGATATTTTTTTATCGAAAGTAAGAACCCTCCTACTCAGTTGATTGGTAGCTTGTTTCGATTTATTGATTCCGAGGCCAAATGAACAGTTGCGCCTCTTCTATTCACTGTGACTTTTTATCAGCCCATTAAAAGCAGTTTTTAAAAAGATCCGGAAATTAATGTTCTTTTCTGATGTCAGATTTGTCTAAAATTCCCATTCATTTATAGTAAAGTTCATCGGGAAATGTTTTCAATTCTAACTATAGTTTTTTTTCAAACCAAAAGGTGACAAGAACATTAATGCGCCTCAGAAGTTTGTTCGATTTTTTTCGTGTCAATTGTTAAACTCATTATAATTTAAAGAGTCATTCGTGATTCAGGTGTTTGTTTTACTTAACAAGCCAATATGTACTTTGTGGATTTCAGCACTTTCTTGTCACACAAGTTTCATAAAGTATTTTTGAATTAACAATAAGATGTTAAATTCAATAGTCAAATATAAATCACATTTGCTTGACAAGTTAAAAACAAGTCCAATGACCAGAAAAGTACATTTTTTAATATCTATTCAGAATTAAGATTAATTGTTATAAGTTTTTAAAATGACCGATTTTGGATTTCATTTTATTTTCAATTTTTTTCTCAAATATCTGTTTTTTTTGAATTAATGGCGACTTCACTACAAAATTGTAAGAAAGATGCAATAATTTCAAACTATCACAAAATTATTAATATTTTTAGCAAAAATTCTTCTTTTCCCAGATAATCGGCCTTAATCGGGCAGAAAATCAATCAAATAAAACTCCTCGTGCCGTAAAAATTATGACTATGACAAGTGCCTTTTTCGGCGACAGATTGCACTTTTTGACTTGAAAAAGTACGGATATCAGTCAAAGTCTTATACAGGCCATTGAATTACCAGACGCCGTTTTTTGCACGATACTTTACACATCAAGCAGAGCAAAAAGGACCAACATATGGTGTTTTTCAATTAGCTGTTGCATTAAGCCGATTATCAGAGCGGAAAATTGCAGTGAGACTACTTTAAATTTGCAAGAGCAACGGAGCAAAAAGTACGCTTGAAACAGATGGGTAATTAATACTATAAAAAGCATAGTTTTTGTAATTTTTTGCATAATGAAGGCGTCGCACGCAAAACATCAGCGAGGACAACTGAGGTTTGAACAGCAAGAAGTTCCATTTTCAAAAGTCAACCAAAGTTTTGGAATAATTCAATCCCACTCTGTTTCAGAAACAATGACACCGGTTTAGAAAAAAAACGGTTTAATCATACATTTTAAAGGATTATGTAAAGATAGTCTGAAAAAAACGAAGATGATTTCAACAAAGCTCTATCAACAGAGCTTGATATGTCAGTTTGGTGATTTGTTGAAAATTTACCGCCGCGAGGGGAAAAATTAAAGTACCTGTTGCCAATCGGAGCTCATGGAGACACTCTCATCTAAGGTGACTCGGTGGTCGAAGCCAGCTATCTTGCAGACCAGATTGCCATTCAGCTTCACATTGGCCGAAGTCAGCACCTGAAACATCAATCAAGTGATACAGAAACTTCTGGAAAGACCGGATTTGAAAAAAAAAGAAAGACCCGCTGAAAATTTGTAAAACGAATTTCATTTCAGACAGTCATTTTGTATTAAATTCTAAATTTTCAGACATGCAAGTTTTTTTTAAGATTTTTTATAAAAAAAATGTGATGTAAAGTCTACCTTGTGTACATATCCGACATCCGCTAAGTACTGCATGCCACACGAAATACCCCTCAAAAAGTGAACGAATTGAGCCAACAGTTCTTTGTTGAGTTGAGGGGTGGGCGATGCTCGCTTGTTTTCGTCTCCCCCACTATTCGGACCCGACTGTTGATGTTGTCGCGAAGATGCCGAGGACAGGGCGGCGCCCATGTATAAGGCCAAGTTGCCAACTTCACACATTTCGGTCAACAAGTTCCAGTTCGAATCTGGAAAGAAAAAACAGAACTGAAATCATTCTCAATAAGGAAGAGTCTCGTTTGTATAGGTTTCGTTCCAATGGATTAAAATCCTTGTAACGAACACTTATTCTGTGATTTCTTGAACCATCTTTGCATCCAAAGAAGAAGCTTAATAGCTTAAACTCCATTTAAGCAGTTGAAGAGTTGTCTTCGAAGTTTTTAATTGTTCTAGAAGTTTATAATTCTAGAAGTTTATAAGTTTAGAGTTCTTGTTTTTCCCAGAAGTCAGTACTTACCCATGCATGATATTCCATAGATCAACTGCACGTTCGGGTGTCTGAACTGACTCATAGTACTCGCTTCGATTGCGAAGCTGCGCAATTGACAGTCTCCTAACGCGACGCTCTTGATGAACACGGGTACTTTGGAACCCCCGCCCACTGTTCCGGGCTCACAAGGAGATGAGAAGGATCCATTCATGTTCTGGTAGGAGTTTTTAGAGAAGGTCGAGTCAATGTAACCAACAGAAAGTTCGCCATATGTACTCAGAATTTCTGAAATTGAACGAAATAACTGAAATACACGAGAGATTTGATTCAATTACAAATTGCAATACTTGCTAAAAATAATACATCAACTGTAGTAGATATTTTATATACTTTCATTAGTGAATTTTTTTTTTAATCGTCATTCAATTAGTAAGTTTCAACTTTAGTTAAATTTATTTCCGCCATAGCATTCATGGTCCTGTTTTAATGAATGGAATGTTGCCGTATGTGAATTCGAGGACCAAGTTAGCACCCCTCCCCTTAAAGCCGCTTGGGGAGGAGGATGTTAACTTGGTCCTAAGTTGAGAATTTTCAGCTAATTAGAATCGAGCATTTTACATGCAGTGCTTTGCAAATCTAATTTAAATTGAAAGCTGGGGAAGAGGATCTTAACTGGTTTTTGTCGGGGGGAGGATGTTAACTTGATCCGAATTCAAGTACCATAAAATTTCTAAAATACTCAAATGATACCTTTCGGATGAGGATTTTCGATCTGGACCTCGCAGGGGTCTACGAAATGACAGAACTCGGACACCATCTGTTTGATGTCCTCGTAGAATGCAGGCTCAATGAAAGCCTGGCCGATAGGAACCATCCTTCCATCTACAACTGCTGAACCATCTGAAAACAAAAGACGAATTTTAATAGGTAGCAGGTTCGAATCCAGCTCACTTCCTTATCAGCTAGACTTTTTTGAATGCAAATTCAAATTTTAATTATGGAATTTTAATGTTAATTTTGGCATTAACATTAAAATTTGATTAAAAGTATATTAATTCATAATTGTTGGACCAAATTGAAACCTGTTTATAGAACGTAAATTAGGAAAAATTTTATTGAAGTGAAAACTTTCAGTCTGCTTTTGGTTTTTAATCTTTTGAATTTTTACAGCAAAGCCTTATTTGGACCTTTTTGGTGGCTTGTAATTATGCCCACATTTAGAACCCTATTGTACTCTTGTACAACAAACCCCGCATAACGACATTTGCCTTACCCCGCTAACTAGCTGTTATAATTTATGCATTCGTTTTCCATCACAAAAGGGGAAGCCTCATTAAAAAGGCAATTTAAGTCTTGGGAAAAGTGTCTCAACGGACGGTGAATGCTAATTTGCAAACCCGTCAACTTCCATAATACCCTTCAATCTGAAACGCACCGCTGACTTCAGTTCCACCTATTACACCCAAAATAGGCGCAAAAAGCGAAACACATCCTGAAAAATGGGACCAGATGTCATTATTTATTGAGAAATTGAAGTAGAGTCAACTGAAAATTTTGTTTTTAAATGTGAAATTGCACTCTTGTAACCTGGCTCTTAAATGTTTTAAGTTGGAGCGCCGGAAAATTCCAAAAAATTTTGTGTTTTTATCCGTCTTTTTGCAAGTCATTTTTGAATGGGACAGGTTAAATATTAGCTCATAGTCTAAGTCAGAGGGGGATCTAGGATTTTCTCGAAGGGGGGGGGGACTTTCGAGAAAAAATTCGAAATTTTGTCGACTTTTTTTTAGATCGACCAAAATGATTTTCTGAGCTTTCCCAATTCATTGTACAGACCCCATTTTGACCAAACTTTCTGCGCCGCGTTTTTAGCCACTTTTTGGAAAACTTTGTCGCGTTTTTCCGGCGCGCGCTCCCCCCTCAAAATTAGTTTATATTGGCGCCCAAGGCGCCTTTAGAAAAAGTTTTAGGGTCAGTCAGACAAAAATGGATATCCCAAAAATAGTACAGGGGACCCTAAGTCCGCTGGTGGTCCAAGTCAAATAAAATTATTTTGATAAAATCTTGATTATTTTCAGCCTTAATTTTCTCACAAATGCTTAAATAGGCTATTTAATTGGCATGTTTTTGAGCATTCACGGTCATTTTTTGAATCGGACGTAACTTTTGAGATGAATCAAAGTGAAAAATGTGCTTTTCTTTTGATTAAAAAATCATATATAGCGGAGTTATTAGCTGGCAGTCATGTTAAGTTAGCTTTGTTTTCGTTCATTGGACATGGCAAGGTATTTGACCGTATTCAAAATGATGAAAAAATCACATACTATAACTATGGACTATAACATAAAAGTTGCATAGACGGAACTGAACTTTTTCTACTCCTGTGTTTTGAGGGGAATATTATTAACGGCACGTCAATTGCATTTTAAAGCGTCAAACGTGGTTTTGACAGCTAACCTAATGGAAAAGACATATCGCCAATTTGAAAAAGTAAATTACCCAAAGGTCCCCACTTCCTAAAATCAACCCCCTTCCACTAACACAGGGACTGTGTATTACCAAACCCTGTATCTATGAAAAGTTACCTATAAATTTGCGCATAAGATAGTTCAAGCGCACAAATAATGCCAAATTTAACAATGAAAACCAAAAAGGTGGAATTTGAACAAAGAGATGGACTAATCTTTATAGTTGCAAAATAATTAGGGTTCAAAACTTTGATCAATGTGTGTTTTTTAAGCATCAGTCGATTCCATGTTCAAAGGCTTACAAAAGCCCCAAAAAAATCCCCTCGCTTATTTGAAGGCTCTGCGTTACAGCTAAAAAAGAACCTCCATTTAATGTATAAATCATTTTACAATTTTCAAGGCTTAAAATTCATTGATCAATGCCTTTATGTAACTGAACAAAACAGTACCCCCTACATAACTCGCTGTGAATGTGCCCCCTCCCCCCTGTTTCTTTTGATCCAAATTCAATCTGCCCTTGTGAGGTTTTTATTTTTAGTCGGCCTCATCTAATTGTTGAACTATCAAGTTCAATGCTTTCAGTCGCTCTTTCGAGTCTTTAAAAAAGGCAATTGAAAAAAATTCATTTTTTTCAAAAACATTTTTCAACTGACTATTGATTTTATCTATTTTTTAAAGCTCTTAGCCTTTTATGGGAAATTCCATTAGTGTACTTCGGATTTTTGTTGTCTCGAGTTTCGTTTATTTAAATAAGGAAACGCGTCAAATTTCTTCAATCGATCCTAGTTTTTCGTTAAAGGGCAATTTCGTCCAAATTGCCAAATTGAAAAAGGAAGCATTTGCTTCCATTTCCAATAATCCCATCAAAGAAACATCTCTGCTTAAATTACAACAAGACAAAACCAAAAATGGGAGTTGGATAATTTGTCGCCTAGATCGGAACACTTAAATTTCAGACTAATGAGTTTTTTATTAACAATATCCTGTGCGCCCGTTTTATAAAAGAACAGGTCAGATTAAAGGCAAAGATATAACGGGTCGATTTAGACTGCAGCCTGAAATTATTTTTAATATTGAATCAATTTGTTCTAATAAATTTGTGTTGATAGTTTTCAGCTTACAAGATTTATCAGAAACGTATATGCAAAGATAGAGATAAAGCGGCAAGGTACAAATTACGGTCATTTTGAACCGCTGAAAAAGCGAATAAAATAGCAAAAAAAAAACACTCCGAGCACAAATATTCTGTCAATTTCCTCGAAAGTCCGAACAAAAACTTGTCCGATTATTATGATACAGAAAAGGGCTTTGAATTTAACTAATTTTATTTTAAAAGTATTAACTACAAAACTGAAGTTGTAGTTTAACGTATGACATCAGTTAAGACTTTTAAAAATTGCTTTCGCAACTTTGATATAAAAACAATAATGAGTTTAGGGGATTTCATTTTTCAGGAGGAATTTGATAACTCACCGTCTCACAAAAATCCTCGAAACTAAAAAAAATTGAAGGCGAGGAGACTTGAAACTGACCTGGTCCAATCATCATTGGGGGAGAGGAGTTGCCAGACATGTAAGACGCGGGGTATGCAGACATGAGTGTGTGAGCCCCGTTGCCGTAGTTCCCATAGGGGGAGAACTGTTTATCGTGATCAAAGGAGTGTGCCGTATTCTGTCGCCTGTACATCATCACTGCACACGAGCAGAGAAGAATGAAAAGAAAGCAGATGACTGACATCATTGCCACTACAAGTATGAGTTGTTTTTGAGTCACTTCAACCAGCTGCGCAGTTTCTGAAAAAAAAAGTTTTAGTAAGTTACTGTCATGTAGTCGAAGGTTCGAATCCTGGTCGTAATCTTGCACGAAACCAGTCTCTTGTGCTATTTTTGGTCAGTTGGTTTTTCAAGTATCGCTAAATAGTTCAATAATTTAAAGTAAAGTATGAAAAAGATTTAATTGATTGGCTCTTTGAAAAATGAGAAAATCACATTGTTAGCTGAAAAGCATGCTTACCAGTGACTTGCGTGAACTGTTTCTTGGAATATACAATTGGGAGGTCCCGGGACACAACAGCGCCCACTTCAAAGCCATAAGTGCCTCCTTCCAGATCTGAAAAAGAAGAAAGAAATCAGCCGTTATTGAAAAGTGTCTGCCATTAATCCTAATTCTAATTTTCCTGTTCTATCATAGAATGCAGAAATATCCCGAAAAATTGATTCGTTATTGCAGGGGCGGGTCTAGGATTTTCTCAAGGGGGAGGGCGCGGATTTTCAAAAAAATTTTTGAAAATTTTGAACTTTTTCTTTAAGACGACTACAGGCAAATTTTAGAAAAAAAACAGGTCTGAAAAGGCGTTTTTAGGATTTTTTTGAAAAATTTCGACCAAAAAATCGCGTTTTTTCGGCGCGCGATTCCCCTCAAAACTAGTCTATTTTGGCGCCTAAGGCGCCTTTAGAAAAATTTTAAGGTCAGTCATCCAAAAATGGATATCTCAAAATAGTACAAAGAGCCTCCTCCCCCTAAGTCCGCTGGTGCGTTATTGCCTTGGAAATATTCATTGTTTTCTAAATCTCTTAGGCACTCGTTTTTACTGAAGCATATTTAAATCTTTGCGCAGATTCAAACCAAAAACTTTAGTTCAAAAACGCATTGAAAAATGCATTTAAAAAATGTTTGAGCATAAAAGCAACGTTGTTCTGTTTAGACTTATTATTTTTTCGGGGTAATTGTTTTAACTAACAGCAACTCGGTCAATCAAAAAGGAAGTTTATTCGATCACAACGGCGGATGAAAACCCCGGGGAATCGATCTGATTCTTAGATGACGCACAAACTCAAATAAATGGTTCGAATGAGAATTTGTTTTTCTATTTTGGCGCCATCTTGCAGTCACTCAATTACTTCTGAACTGATTTTTGAATTCGTTTTGAAGCTTAATGATCTTGGTAGCAGATGCTACCCATAACTTAATTTTATGTTGAAATACCACTACCAAAAATTTTATTATTCAAGATATTTTTCAATTTCACAGTTTGGATAATTTAAAAAAAATGATGTCTAATCAATGTATTCAGCAAAACCATAAATATTTAATAAGCGTTTAATATGAGACAACTTATTATTAAATGAGCTAAGGTCACATCATATAATGACAACCTTCACTCTGTCAATTGAATGAAGTTTTTATGGTTCCGAAGGTGAGACTTTGGTCCATAAATTTAGATCTAAAACCGTCATTTCTAAATCTAAATGACATTATCCCTTAAAAGGTGACTCCTTGTTTATGACTTTAATTCCACCATCTAAAACGTTCTGATAATGTTTTACTTAAGTCATAAAAAAGTCAGATATAAATTGATTGATTCGTAAAATTTAATGTTCCTATAAGATGAGACGATTTGGCTGGGAAATTTTATAGGAGAATCAAAATTTATCTCCATCTTCAATACACTGTTTCAATTCAACCCTAATGGAAAATGGAAAAGAGCGCCGCCCTCTGCAATGTATTATAGAAACACATGGGATATCGAGGAAGAGAAAATTGACGATATCGAGATAATGTGGAGCATCATTTAGAAATGCGATGATAAGATCATTCAACCGTCGAAGGAGACTTTTAACCAAATTGAACCTAAAGAGGAAAAAGGTCACCCGCCTTTGAAACAGACCAAATAGGCCAAGAATTAAAGTTAAATCAACGATTATATTTAAGTAACGATTGCTGATAAAATTGAGCATTAAAAAATTTATCTTATGCTTATTCATCTCTTTTGTGTAATAAATGCTTTGAATAAATGAAATATATGTTATAAAGAAACGGTTCACCAAAAGATTGAAACATTTTTTTGGCTCTTTGACACATTATTTAAAATCTGGTTTCAAAAAAAAACTTTTTGCGGGCTTCTTTTTTTTCTATTCTTATGCTACTATTGTTGATATTTGAAAGTAAATATTTTTCTTAAAATGTACTTATTTACTTTTATTTTTATTGATCAATTTTTCTTTTTGATTTTAGAGTCATTTTTGATTTTTGAAGGTAAAATTCCATTCTAAGAACGATTTCTTTTCAACTTTTTTTCCAATTGACAGGGAAGCGACAGCAATTAGTCAAATCTAGCTCTGATGCGGCCGTGAAAGCAGAGGCAAATGGTCCGGAACAGCCTCCTCCCCCTCTGACAGATAAGATTGCCACTTTTGAAGCACCCCGATAAAAGCAAGCATGAAATTGTGGGCGAGCCTTAAAAAATAGAGACAAAAATATCAGCCGAAAATAGTATTGAGCATTCAGCCAAAAATATTACCCATTTAAAAAAAAAGTCAAAAAAATCAAAAAGTAAAATATTGGGTTGTAGAATTTATGTCTTGCTTGGCTCTACTTGACAGAAATTATAGTTTGCATGAGTAATTAAGAGAGTTAAAAGTTTCTTTTCAAATTATGATAATGACTATAATTTTTCCGGATTTAAAAATTCCACCTAATTTGGGCTGTATAATTTTGAATTGATTGTTGCCAGAAATATTGCGCGTGGATAAATTGGCGACAGATTGTCATAACAAGCAATTATGGCTAAAAAAGGGATGCAATCAAAAATTTAAATGTTTTTCCAAAGTCAAGATCACGTGAATAGGTGAGCTCGTGCCCGTAATTATAGCCGAATTTATTTCCCCAATGACTGTTATTTTTTGATACTTTTGAAATTTGAGTGACTCCTCCTAAGCAACTAGAAAATCAATCCGTTTCGTACTATTTATTTATGTTAGCAATAAAAACAGTTTTGAATCATAATAAATGTTTATAGTTCCAATTTGGCTCTTCATTTAAGGTTCCTTGGCAGAGGACCGATTTAAGACTTAAAAGGCATTTCGAAAATCATAGGCATTTCGAAAAACTTAATAGCCTTAATAGGCATTTCGAAAAACATTTGATTTTCAAAATGCCTGATTTTCAAAAGGCATTTTGATTTTTGAAGCTCACTGAAATGTCAAGTTGAAAAAAACGACTAAGAATAATGAGACTCACTGTTTAGTACTAGTAGGGTTCTGTTCACACATCTGGGCTCGGAAGTATCGGACAGTCCAGGCGCTGTTATGCGTACACAGTATGTGTGGCCTCTGAAGTTGTCGGGACGCACCCAAAACAGTCTCACTTCGCCCGGGTTGGTGTTTGCCACTGTCACGTCTTTGGGCATTACTAAAAACAATTCAAAAAATTGCCACAAAGCTTCAAATTTTTCTCATCTCAAGTGTCTTTTCACCCAGGGGCGGAGTTAGGGGGGGGGGGGGGCGGACGCCTTCCTTCCTCCCTCAGGGATTCGACCCCCTGCCGACCCAAAGGGTCCCCCCTTTGGTACTTTTTCAGAAATCCATTTTTGGCCGACCGACCCTAAAATTTTTCTAGAGCCGCCTTCGGCGCCAATATATACTAATTTTGAGGGGGAGCGCGCGCCAAAAAAACGCGTTTTTTTGTCAAAATTTTCCAAAAAGTGTTCCAAAAAGTGACCTGTTTTTTCAAAAAATTGCCTGCGGCGCAGAAACTTGGCCAAAACAGGGTCTTTTTACTGCTTTGGGAGAGCTCAGAAAATCAATCTGTTCGACCTAAAAAAAAAAAAGGTCGTCCAAATTTTTTGAAAATCCGCCCCCCCCCCTCGAGAAAATCCTAGATCCGCCCCTGTTTTCACCCATCGTATTTTTCATTTTTTAGTCCTCTTTTGCTAGTGATTTCTGTTTTTAAGAACTTCCAAAATAGAAGCAAAAATTTTCAAAAGCTCAAAACTGATTTTTAACAAATTAATTCTAAAAGAACTCAAAATATATTTTTATGATACTGAGGAAATTTGCAAAGAAATTTGTAAGACTGTTAACCTCTGGTATTCTGGTGACATGTTGACCCTAGAAAAAAAAATGTGCCATAAAATTCAGTTATGAGTGACTCTACTTACTTGCTTCTTTTGTTCTGACTTCGATCTTAGTGTAATTTCTCCTGTTGTAGTATTTCGATACACTGTTCAGACTGTAAACGATGACGTCATACTTTGACCCCGGCTCAAGTCGGGTCAAAGTCAAAATAGGTTGTCTGACGTTGTCTTCGACGAGGAAGTTGTCGCATTGGGGACACTCCACTCTGTACCAGATGAGGTCGCGACCTCCGTTGAATTCAGGAGGAGACCATCTCACGACTGCAGTGGTGAATTCCGCATCGTATGAGGGGTCTCTGAAAATAATGCAAAAATTATCAAAAAAAGTTTTGAAATCAATTTATTTTCAAAAAAAATCAAAACTCAATTTTCAAAAAAAATCAAAACAAAAAGTTTCACCCAAAGCGTTTTATTAGTAATGCAATACGGGGACAAGGGTTGCCAAGAACATTCCGTAAGATTGCGCCAGAAGTTATGTAATAATGGATTCCATAATAAGGATTTTGTAATAATGGTCCTGAACCCGGCTGACCTTGGGGCTGATGGAGAAGTGGCACAAGACATGCTCTCTGGTTCATGGTCAGTGTTTCTGAAGTACCCCTGATTGCACACACACCTGCCTGCCCCAATCACCTGTGAGTCACTGTTGGTGGGACAACGATTGCATCGAAGGGCGTTGCCGTACTCGCTTTTGTACGTGTGCACCCCACACTCTAAAATGAACAGGAAATATAGTTGAATATTTGTTATGTAATTTGCAGCAGTCATTTATACAAGGAGTTTTGGCTACTTTTTAAAACTCCAGTATTTGAAGAAAAATTTTTTTGAAGGCATCGATTTTAGTCTAGAGGCATGAAAATGGAAAAGCCAAGCCAATTCAACTTTATAAACAACTAAAAAGTAATGGCTAACAAAAATGTCCGTTATAAAAAAAACACATTTTTTGTTTTGGGAAAAAAATGCATTTTTTGTTATAAAAAAATACGTATTTTGTTGCCTCTCATATAATCATCTCGGCCTATCCTCAGTGCTAAATCAGAATAAAAACGCTAACAAGATTTTTTCCCTATAATGTAAGAAGAGCCCAAGAAATGAACCCTTGAGAATTTGCCCTAATTTATGTATATTTGTTTAAGTCGTCTGAGGTCGCAGTTGTCATCATTATCAATAAATGTCAGTCGACTTCAGTCAACTTGACATGTTATGCAGAGCACATGATTAGTTTTCAATTAATAACACATCAATAAAACCCTGCCTACCATTAACAGGTGATTTTTAGAGACAATTATTACATATTATTACGCTCAATTAGAAGCCAAGTCAACATTTGCACAATTTTATATATCTTTTTTTATTTTGATTAATGTTTCTGCAATTTTTTTTTAAAACAGTTCACAATGGGAACACTGAAAAAAATTTGAACTACTTTCATTACTTAAAATAAACAGTTAATTTCGGAACAAAAATATCTTTTTTCATCTTCTAAGCGCAAGATTTAGCACATGATTTTTATTTATTAAGTTCACCCTCCTCAGCTAAGCTTTGGTTCTTTTCTGGCGCCATAAAAGTGGGGGACTCGTTGGTACAATTCTGCCGCTTTTACTTCATTTCCAAGCCAGATGCTAATTCTCAAGAGACGCATAAAATCGGGGGTCGTGTAAATTAAACATTTATCCCCTGATTTAACAGGCCTCGCCACTTTAGACCGAACGCGACTGTTGTCATTTCCAAACGCAAATTCAGACGTATTTCGAATAATTTTCACGATCAATAAAGGACTTAAAAATTATACTGAACGACGCTTAGATTAATCTCAAGTCTGCACAGTTTTTTCAAGATGAAAGAATGCTAAATCAACCCATATGTTTGTGCAATTTAAAGTTTGCAAGACCATCTGCACTTGTTAATTTGACGCCGAATTCAAAACAAAGCAAAAAATTATTAATTTGCTCATTTTTCAGGCTTACAATGTTCAAAGTTTTAATATCGTTTCCATCCTTCATTCGATTGTTTTTCGTTTGAACTTCATTTTTTTAAATGAACATATTATTTGCAGAAAAAAATAAAAAACAAACAAAAAACTGTTTTGGGATAAAACTGTATATTTGTCTCAAATTAATGATTGGTAAAAAGCCTAGTCCTTGGAAATTTTCTTTAAATATAGCTTTAAATGTTCCTTCGTCTCTTCAGCGTCTATGAATTAGTTTTAAAAATCAAAAATTGATAAAACTTTAAAGCATACGAAAAAATTTTCCCTACAGGTATTATAAAGTATAAAAGAACGTATTAAGTGTTTATTAAGGTAATAACACTACCAAATAGCTAGCCTCAAATCATTTTAAATTGAATTCTCGAGCGGAGACAATCGCAGCTTATGCGCGAATCAGATGATATATATCGCGTTTTATTTAACCCTAAGTGGCAAACCCCATATCTTTGAGAAACCCGCAGAGAAAAAGTATCGCAAATGAAATTTATTTTCCAGTTTTAGTTAAAAACTTGGATGCTCTCTAAGTTATTTGTAAAACTTCCATCAATTGCAGCTAGTTAAAAGATCGAAAATTTAGTAAATTTTTGTTGAAACAATTGTCAGCTGAAAAAAAAAACAATGAGAACAAAAAAGTTTCTTTTCATACGCTAATCTCTAATCACAGATTCAGGCGGTCGTCAATTTGATGAACTGTGATTGCGATTAACACAGAGAAAAAGCCGTTAAAGCAGGCAAATTTATGATACAATCTGGTACAAAATAAGTTACTAGCAAATTTGGATTTTCTATAAACATTGTGCTATTTCGTTGCGCATTTAAAAAATTAAAATATAAACGAGAATTCTTTTAAATTGAACGGCGGTCTGCTAATTTTTTTAGATTTGTTGTCCTGGTCACACCACGAAAGGACAAAGAGGAATTATGTCGTGGGGGTGAATTTGCCCTTCCAATTTGTCTACCTCAAAGAAATTTGAAGGTGCTCAAATGTGGTATCACATTAATCCGTGCTTCATTTAGATTTGATAAAAAAAATTCAACAAAATCGTTTTAGTGTTAAAATTTTTTAATTTTAGGATCAAATTTGAGGACACTGACCACATTGACATGGAAACTAATGAAAAGCGATTTAATTTTAACTCAAATTTTTCTACAAATTTACACTTGATTCTTGCACTTTAGTTTTGAAGCAATTACTTTTTGTTTTGAGCATTGACAATGAAGAAAAACGGTGTTTTTGAGTGTGTTTTGGTTTTTTCTATCGAAAATGGGGAGAAAATTAGTCTCTAGGTGAGAGATAGTTTTTTTTCATATTTTCCTACTCCATTTCAGGCACCACAAATAATCATTGCTATGGGTCAAAAAATACATCATCGTAGAATTTCAGTCGTATACCAAAGGAAAGAAAAATTTAAACAATTTTCCTTGTGCCGAGAAAAGCACGTTTGAAGTTTTTGAGTTTTAGTCTGATTTGGAGCAACTTAAATGAGAGAGTTTGTCTTTCTATTAGAAAAACAAACTTTTGTTTAAAGGGTGAGAAACTTAGTTTTATTCCAGCAAAATAATGTTGGAAGCTTCATTTACGTTCCTTGGCAATAAAACTGTTTAAAATAAATATATTCTGCAAAAAATGCTAGAAAAACAATTTTTGCAATTTTTTAAATTGTTTTCTCATGTTTTGTTTCTTATTTTTTTTCGAAGACAACTGTAGTCAATTGTATCTAACTCATTTTCTATTTGCGCTTTCGATTAGTTTTTTCATTACAACGCGCACAATAAGACGATTTTTATGTTGAAAGTTTTGTAATGAATGATTGTAACATTCTGGGTTTTGCTAAAAGGCTTTTCTCGACTTTGATGTTTTCAGTTTTTAAAAGTACGAACCACACGAAAGAAAATTAAACTGAATCAAGTTATAATTCTTCTCTTTAACCAAACGAGTTGAAACCCTCCAACCCATTGATCATTTTGCATTGATAATGCTGGAACTCTATCCTAATTTTGCTATAATAAGTTACAATTGTGCACCAATGAAGTTGACATCGCGGGCGCTAAATATAGGGCCCGGTCAAAATTTTTATGATGAAAGTTCTAGTTTGATCTTTTTTAATAAGTCGATTTTAGGAAATCTCCGGAAAAGTCTTGTTTTTTGATTACTTCCTCTGCTGTGCAGGCGGTTCCCGAACTAACTAATAATTCATCATTTGTCATAAAAAATTATTATATCATCTAGAGTCAATTCCGGATAATGAAAAGGGAAAATTAGAACCGCTGGGGCGTGAAACAAAATTGATCACATATGGCTTTTAAACTGGAAACAGATTTTGTCAGAATTTTTTCGGTTGATTGCTGAAAATCACTCATATATTAAACGATTCCAAATGTTGCAAAACACGTGTAACAAAATTTGGACAACAAAATTTATGAAAATGAATTTTTAATGAGCAAACAAATAGATATACAAAATGGTCAACCGTTAGCTAATTTTAGAAGTCAATCATGTCTCTGTATTATTTAAAATCTACTCTGGGCGGAGAGCTCAAAACCGTTGAAGCGCGTGAACAAAAGATGACCGAACTATTGAAGGATTTTTGATGAGAGGAGAGTTTTATGAGAAACTTTCGCCAGGTTTCAGGTTCAATTTCTTCAAAATTTTTTTTTTGAGATTGTCTAGTTTAGTCATTTTTGCAGAAAACATTTTTCTAATAAGAAAGTTTTTAGAGTGAGCATAAATTCTTAACAGATTTTTTTTTAAAAAAAACTTTATAATTATTGGCTTACATAATTGGAAAAATTTATTATATAGTGAATTTTTTAGAAAAAAGGTTTTAAGCTTACGGTGGCATGCAGTTTTATTCTCATTCGCGTGAAAACCAGGGTTGCACTGGCAAGTCGAGAACGAGTCCGTCCATTGGCCGAAACTGGCACAATGTTGTGTGCTCGATAGATGAACGTCTGGATCTGGACTTGAATTGGTCACACATCGTCCGAAAATCGGAATCGGTTCTGCAGGTGCTTGCGGGGCGAATGTTTTCGGGTAGTAGGCTAAGCCTTTAACTTCGGAAGGACAAAACGTGGAGTAGATTTGAATTTCACTGATTCGTATACACAGACCCTCGTCTGAAAAGCGAAGTTGAAATGCGGGGACGTCGACGCTTACTGGGATGACTGTCGAGTAAGGCGGAAACGGAGGTCGCTTAGACCGAATTGACCCCCGATGTGCCTGGCTGATTTGCACGTCAAACGAAACGTACTTATCGCCCAGGACTACCTCGCCTCGCAATTTTTCTTCGTTGCAGTTTGAAGACAGCGAGCTGCACCAGACCAGAAAACTGAAAACAAAAATAACATTTTTCAATCTGGCTAAAAGTCATGATGAAAGAAAAAATGTAAGAAGTCAAAATTAGGCCAAAAAAAGCTTTGACAGTCTCTATAATATTTCAATTTCATAAAAAAAGAGCGCCATAAAATATCACTTTAGAGTGAGAAAACTCATAGAAAATAGTGACCCAACTGGGGATCGATCCGTTGCCTACAGATTAGGAGTCGAACCTAATTTTGATGCGAAGATTCTGACTGGAGTCGCCTTTGTTAATGAGAGGAGTTGTGAGTCGTGAGCGGTGGTTTGAGTTCTGAGCGTCGCAAGACTCCCAGAACATTGACTGTGTGCCGTCTGAATTCTGAATGGATTGCAGTTGCCACTAAAAAGTAAGAAGGCTTTTCAACAGTTTTTAGAATAAAGATTTTCTGCCTGTTTAGAAAAAAAAACTTTTGAGAAAAATTTGTTTTCATACTTTTCTCAGTTTTATTATACGAGAAATCTTTTTTCAACTGATGGAAAATCTTTTTTTTTCTTATTGAACTGAATGACACAAGTGGTAATAAAAATGTACAGAAAACATGCACTAACCCCTTTACTACTGGTTGATGAGAATGACTTGTCATTTGTTAGAGATTTGAGTCCATTCAAACTGTATTGGGCGTACACGTCTGAAACGAATTATCTAGTCTTCAAGTTATCAAAAGGCTTCTTATCTATGCAGCTATTTATATGACCCAAATTTGAAGGTATATACCACTTCAATATCTTTAAAAAATGAAAATTTTTATAAACTCATAAATTTTCATCATATGCCTTCACAATAGCACTTGGAGGAGAGAGCGACGCTCTTTTTTTCGGGATTCGACCCCTTAAAAAAGGCCCCCTTTTGAGAATGTGTTAAACTATTTCCCTCCCTCGTGAACCTAGTAACGAAGCTCTCCCATAACGAAACAAAAATATCCGGTTACTGTGCAAGTAGCACAGAATGTTCCGACCATGGTCTTTAAAAACTAAGGTTTAGATTTAGAAAATTTTTTTCCAAATTAATGTGCCTGGCGTGATAAACGGATCTGACGTAAAAATATAATTTAGGCATATTGGACAGTCCTAGTAAAATAGGCAAATTGAACAAAAAATTTCGTAGAAATTGAGTAGAAAAACTAAAAAAAAATTGAACTTTTTTTTCAAATTTTTTGCAGATAACTTTTGATTGTTTTTTGAAAGTTTTGGATCCCAAATTGAAGCTACAAAACTCCAAAAACTAACTTACTTGTTTAAAATAAGTCTTAAAATCTTAAATTAGGCATAATTCAGCTGTTGTAAGCCTGCTCGCTTGCTTTATCCGCTCGAATTATGACAAAGAGTCAAAAATTTCAGGCCGGTTTTTCTCGACACTGGGACAGTTTTTTTAATAATCGTTCGAATCACGACTGAAAGGACTTTAACACGATGTATCACTCAAACCAGTCCAATGATTATGTTTGTTTTGTTTTACCTGATTTTGCGTGGAAAACAAAACGAAAAAAAACCCGAATACAAGTTCCCACCTATTTTTCAAATGGTCAGAACTATAAGCCGAATAATTTAACGTTTAAGCAAATAAGAATTTTTTTGCCAAATAAGAAATGGGGTTTAAAAAATTTGCCAAAGTGGAAAAATAATTAAAGAGGTCCCCTTTTGGTAATACGGCGCTGATTTAAATTAACCGGACACAACGAACAACAATGGTAACTGCAAAGGCGATTTTCTCAAATGGGGTTAAGATTAGACAAAAAATGAAAAAAACTGCTAAAATATTCACCGGAATTTATATGGTTTTCCCCGAAATTCTTTACAAAAATTTTTCCTGAAAAATGGCTTTTTTTAATTCATTAAAAATTCCGTTGAAACTACCAAATTACTTGATGAAAACGAAAACCTTAAATGATCAGAATTTAAAGTATTGGTCTCAAAAAATTTATTTTTGATGAAATTATCTCATTAGTAAAATATCAGAATCTCTAGCTAAAAACAAATTTCAAACGTTTTAAGCAAACTTCAGAGGTTTTGCATTTCAATACACTTGTTGGGCTGTGTAAGAGGCTTCTTTTGGAGTCTGTTTTTGTTTTCTTCACTTTTTGTCTTTTCTCAACCCATAATTACAAAATTCGTTTGAAGTGTCAAATTTTGCTCGTTTTGCCGGATAATTTAAATCAGCACTGTAGTTTACGGCATCCATATTTGATTGATTTCTTCTCTAAATTTAACGGGGTAGTTGTGCACGCGCCGAAAAACGTTTTTTTTTGTCACATCCTCACAGAAAATGGCCGTTTTTAGTTGGTGTCTGCGAAGCTGAATCTTTAATCGGTTTTAGGTCTTCATAGTCTATATAAAAAAAATTGACAAATCTTTCTGTAAAAGAAAAGTCGCAACCCAATCACCCCCTCTTTCCTCATAAAGTCCTAGATCTGCTTTTTTATGATTATTATTACCCGGGTTGACCTCCATACACCAAAAATGCTTATCATACAATTCCATACATCAAGCGTGTGGGAAAATGCTTGTCATACAATTTTCATACAATTTCCAAAAATGGTTGAAAACTGGTATAAACTCATTTGTGTGGCTGTTTAATTCTAATAAAACAATCCGGTAATAAAAAACTGGGGTTTTCGTTTTTGAAAAAAATGCTTATCATAAAATTCCCATATATGGAAATTGTATGACTGGCATTTTTTTCATGGCGACACAAAAAATTTCATGGCGACACAAAAAAGTAATTTTGAAAATTTGGCCCAAAAATTCTTTTGTTTTTTTTTTCAACCGCAAATCGATTTTCGAACGCAAACAAACAATTTTCGAAAAAAAAAATTTTGCATGCAAAATTTAATATTTTGTGTGCATAACGTAGTCCTGGTTACAATAAAATTGGCTTTTATTTTCTTTTCACTTAATTTTTTTTTTTCAAAAACGCTGAAAATTTCTCTTTCTTTTGTATGGGGTGTTAACGTACGCCTTGATCAATGTCTGATAATTTGAAATTTCAAAAATTTAATATAATCATTATTAAAAAATTTTGCCAGAAAATAAAAGTTTGTTATATCAATTGTGAAAGACAGCCAAATTCAGGCCGTTTGCTATGAATTGTAAATGCAAGACCGTCCAACCTTTGGTGTTTTGAGTCACCAAGGTCTTTGTCACTTGTGTTCGGTTGCAACTACAACCGAAATTTTTTCAGAAACTAAATTTAGAAAGAAAAAATCAAAATTTTTGGTTTATGGGAAAACACCTATCATACAATTTTCATATATGGAAAAATGCTTATCATAGAGTTTTCATACAATTTTCTGTACGTATGTAATTGTATGAAATTGTATGACAAGAAGTTTCTCATAAATGGAAATTGGATGATAAGAAGTTTTGGTCATCCCGGGTATGTATCAAAAACCAAAGCTTTTCGAAATGCCGTAGTTTTCAGATTTCAATCACTCGGCCCATGTGAACAAATACCCCCCCCCCCCAAAAAAGAGATAGACCGAGTGAACAATCTCCCCCTTAGTATTAATCGACAAACTCAAGCAGTAAGACCTGCATGTACTATGCTCAAACTTGATTGGCTGAAAACTTTTACTGTGAACAAGTGAACTCTCTCCCCTCTATTTTGGGGGGTGATAGTTCACTTTGTCCAGTCACTCTAACTGACAATCAATCGCTTTAAAAATAGAACCAACTGTGGTAATTGGTAAAAGTAGCCTTCTCTGCTTTTAACAATATTCAAACAATCAAAATTAGTCCGTTCAACTGGCACCAAACTGGTATGCGCATGTTTGAGTATCTACTCAGAAAAAAATTGACTAATTTAGCTGGTAGAGTTTCTTTTTTATAATCATGATAATTTTCTAAAGCATTTTTGCTTTGTTTTTTATCCGCAGTGGGTTATTTTATTTGTTCTGTCATACATGAAAATGTTGAGTGGTTCTTTAATGGCTTTTTTGACGTGCCTGTGTTAATTATTATCTGTTTGTGAATTTTTTACGTGGTATTCGTGTATAATTGTGAGCTGTGTTACCAGTTCAAGCGTCTGTTTTACTCGAGGGGAGGGTCTTTGATTCAGTCGACTGGTATCTGATACAAATCGGTCTACGCAGAGAAAAATTGGCGAAGAGAAATTGCTCTTTTAAACTTTGTATTCTCGTACGTCTAAACCTAACTAGCAAACATTCAAAATCTGAAAAAATTAGATTTGCAAAAATGCATGATGACAACAATAAAGTGAGGTTTAGCGTTTTACTGTTGAAGTGGTTTAAAGATTAACCTTTCATAACAGACCGAAAACGTTTCATGTAGCTTTGGCCAGGTAAATTACTCTTTAACCAGAACAAAGACTTCTTAGATTGTGATTTGTTTGAGCCTATTTGGATTAATTCCGAATACCATTTGTCCACCAAGGATTGAAACGAGCCGCAATAAAAGATTAGCTAACAAGTTAATCATTCCAGTGTATTTATTCATAGCCAAATTTGAAACAATCGATCTTGCAGAAGTAGCAGAAATCATGTCTCAAATTTTGTTCTCGTTTGTAAAAGGTTGGGTCAATTACAATAAATTAAATTTTCACGGCCAAGTTCCAGTTTTACTGTTTTACTCAAATAAAAAGAGATTGTAAGAGAATGTAATTTAGCCCACTTGAGGGTTTACTGCCAACCGCTCGCTGTTTTTGAGGTGTTGTTGAGCTTTTAAACATTTACAGTCTAAATATTTTTAAACAGTTTAATGGGTTTTATGAAAACACATAACCGTTACCAAAACACTCTTAATTGTCATTGAAAGAATTAAGCGACGCCTTTGAAATGAGTCTACAATAGTGGAATTCATAAAGTTTGGGTTTGTTTTGCTAAGTTTATTCAAGATATAAAACCGGATACTGCAATACCTCCCGAATGAGAACTCTCGACTTTAGAACAACTACCCTTCTTGAAAACGAAAACTTTTGTCTTGGGTGCAAATATTGACATAATATAGGCACTCAAATTTGCTCGCATCAAGGGAACCAACATCGCTGAAAGGAGAGTAAAGAAACAAATTTTGGGCTCGACTTAATCTCATTGTTTTAGAAATGACTTTGTGTAAAACTGTGGATTCTGACCATGATTTGTGTTAAGTTGAAGTTCTTTGAACCAAATTATCTTAGGTGTATAAAAGTTTAAAGACTTACGAGAGACAAAGTTTATGTTGATTGAGCTAATTTCACAAATGGTCTTGTTTGGTTTTCCCTCGAGCTGTGTAAATAAAATACGGACGAAGAGCAACAAATACTCGTCGTCCGGCCGAGACAAAAAGCGCCGGGACGTCCCGCCAAAAGGGACAGATTAACTAACTACCGCCTCTGCTCAACCAAACCCCCACCCCCTCCCGCTTTGCAAAAAAATACAGCACTGACTCTCCGACGGTTGTTCATGCTTCAATGTTTTCTTTCAATTCCACCTGGTTATAAATAGCGAAAATTCTGAAAGATGATTTTCCCTCAAGTCGTTATTTTAAGTAATTTGGTAGACTATGTGAATTGCTTAGCTGACCGACTTAGATTAGCGAGAAAAGGGGCGAGCCTCAATGACTGATCAGGAAAAATTTCGGCTAAATTGAAGAAAACGCGATTTCTAATAGAAATTTTGTGAGCAAAAGGAATCTTGAACACGTTGAATTTGGTCAGTTTTACTTTCGATGGAAGAAAGGTCAGGACCTTTTTTTGAAAAATCTGAAGTACTGAAACTCAACTCTTGCATTGCCTAATAGCTATATAAGCTTTCAAATTAATACGCAATACGATCATGTCGTTCTGTGGGTCGCAATATTAATTCAATGTCATGTTTTGGTTAATTAAGTTTTGACAATATGTGAAGTAGTTCTTCGTTCAAAATTTTCGTGTAATGTTAAGATCACCAGCCACTTATTTTCCATTTTCCTAGATGTTATTAGCAAGAAAACATGATTTATAATGTAGTCGCCGGCGGAACAAATTAAGGGGAGGTTTAGAAAGTTAGGGAGAGAGTTTGACCACTCTGGAAATTAGTAAACAAACGAATTTGACACGAAAACAACTTGACAAAACATGGCCGAAGATCCAAGTCGCCTGAAACTAGCATGTTTATAAACACTAACAGCCGCGTCAGCAAATTCAGCAAAATTATTTCTTCAGTGGAGAATCTTGAGCTTTCAAGTGTTGATTCAATTGAAGATTCAAAGACATCGAAAAAAGCTCACTTGCACGAAAACGGTCAAAAAGGGTCAAATTTTTCAGCAGAAACTGAATTTAATTTTGGAAATTGAAACAAACTTTTTTGTGGAAAACAATTATTGCTCGCATTGATTTTTGTCTTTTTTTTCCTAAAAACAAGCTGTTTTTATATTTAACTGGATATCAACTGAGGTTTAATTGAATTAACTTCATTCAGAAAATGGAGTGTTTGTCGAACAATTGACTAAAAAGGATTAAAAAGGAAATCCGCGAGGATCATTAAAGATTTTCTTCGAATTGAAGAATGAACAAATTGGTATCATTGTCCCACTTTTGAATTGTGGCGAACTGATACTTGATTTTCAACCTTTCCGAAAACATTTCGATCGGAAATCATTTTGAAGTTTTTTTCCGATGAGTTAAGTATGACAGACATGATTCGTTTCAGTAAAGGTTTGAATTTAATCTCTCTTTTTGCCGTTCACATATAATCGGTTCGTTTTGACATTTTAGACACTGTGAATCAGAAAAAGGTATGGGAAGATTAAAAAGGAAATTATAAAACAAATTGTGCGTTTATTTTCATTTGAAACAGCATCAACCTTGCGAAAAATCAATGTATTCTTAAAATGATTAAATAGCAATTGTACTACACGGATGTGATTGTTGACCTGATTGTAAGCCTCAAGGTTGTCTTTATGGTATGTTTTTTATATGCCCAAGGGTAACTTTAATCCAAGTTCACCTCCAAATCAATAAATTTTATCTTCGCTGGAAAAATGAATTTCTACTTCTTTTCAGATTTTTGCAAATACACAAATGAATATCTCGGTTTTTTGATGGATGCAAGTTTCATTTTCATCTATTGATGATTTCTATTGCGTTTTCTTGGTCATTGAACATAGTCAGAGACAGGTTTTGAAACTATTTAAATCTGAAAAGGTAGAAAAAAATTTCTTGGTAATCATTGGTATTTATGGTGTGGTATCATACATATACTCATTTTTGTAAGTTTCACAGAATAAATCACCATTTGAAAAAGCCTTTATTGAATTTTTTCAAAAGAATTTTGAAACTTACATTTATTGGACTGAGTTGATTGACTGTCGACAGCAACATGAACAAAAGAAGTAAAAACCAGAAGTGTCGAAACGAATGATGAAACTGCCGACATCAAGTTTAGAGTTCCCAATTTCATTTTGGCCAAGTTTAGAATCAAATTGAATGATATAATAGCAGAAACTAGAATAATATATTTGCCCAACTAATCAGCAAATCAAATAAAGTTGCAGATAGTTTGAGCCCCGCTCGACCATAACAAAGATGAGGACGTTAGAGGTTGCGATAATAAGTTGCTTGAGTAATAATGCCGTTGTATTTGTTATTATTCAATTCAGACTATAGGTAGCTAAAGTATATAATTTTTGAAAATAAATATTTGATAATAATAAAATTAAGGTGTCGCTATTAGGTGAAAATAATGGACGAATAGAATTAATGAAAATAATGGACTTGATTTTTGTTTATTTCGCAATAGCAACAAATAGATTATTTATCAAATGAATGACGCGTCCTTTTTTGTTTGAAAGTTTTAACGCAAAAAATTATTCTAAAATAAGGAAAACAACAATGGTTTAAAAGATGAGGACAACAACTTTGATAACTTCTGATGTCCAATTGATTTTAAAATGAATCTTTTGTAAAGTTTTTAGGAAGAATTTTAATTTCTTTTAAATTGGCTCGAGTAGAATCTTTTTAGTTGGTAATGTCAATATCTTACCACCAATATAAATAGAAATTAAGATTTTTTAAGTAAGCTCTGAATTTGACGCAGATTTTCGAACGGTAACAAGAACAAATGTGAATTCAAATTTCTATATAAAAATTATTTCAGACTAATTTCAGCTCGGCTTTGAACCAACAATTTTTGAAGTCTCCTTTCGGTATGTGGAATGGTCACTTATAGACCTAATCTGTCGAGATAAGAGGGACAATTCTGCTTCTAAATTGAGAATTAAAGTAAAAGTAACTCGCGGCTGAAGGCAGCAGGTACTTGGCTCAAGTTGACTAAAAACCGAATTGATCGAAATGCCTCCTACGCTATAAAATAACTGGTCAAAAGATGAAATTAACAAAAATTAATAATAAGCTTGAATAAATTCGCAGCTATTACGCGGCATGGGATTAAAAAACAATAATTAAATTAAGGGAAACTTGGGTAAATTCTCAGATTGGAGATATTTTGACATTAATGTTCGAAATTTGAGTCTTACCAATTTTAGTTTTGAGAGCCAATTTCGAAGTTTAGTAAAGGAAGGATTATAAAGTCAATATTTGCTCTCTCAGAGGTATTTTGTATTGTTGTGGCATTTATATTGCCAAAAGCCACTTTTATTGTCTCGGCGGCAGTTGCTCTTGCTTCACTAGTGCAGTACTATGTTTTCCCTTTTACCTCCCGGAATATAATCCCAATTTATATTTTCATCGGGAGAGAGGTCAAAGCTTCCTCAATTTCAACCAATCACAGTCAAGTAATTATTCAACAAATTCTCAGCCGGATTTATGAAGTTCAAGTTGCACTCCAATAAAATTGAAACTCCGTATTTTTGAGATTCTTCAAATAAGTAAAAATGTACAATAAGATGAAGTTGAGCTGAGAGAAGAGTTTTCAAAGTTTTCACGATTAATATGTAAAAAAGTAATAAAAAATTGTAAGTTCTTTGTTATACTAGGTGAACCACTTTTCAATAAGCCAATATTGAATTAGATTCGGTTTGTTCGAGCCGTGAAAAAATATCTAACAAGTTTACTTCACCAACTGAACATGATCAAGCTTTGCTTTTTACAAACAAATTTTACAGTAAAAAGATACAAAATTTCTAAAATCGAAACTCACAACTATAGATGATGGTCAATATAAGTCAAAAGTGGCCAAAATCAGTCACAGTATTGGCCATAAAATAGTGCAAAAGCTACTCTACAGAGTAATAATACAGTAAGATTTAGTCAAGTTATATTTTAGTTTGGTTCCAAAGCAAACTGAGCATTTTTTTCACAGTTAGGAATTTTATATAGCCAAGCAACTAAAATCCAATTCGGAGACTAGCCGATAATCCGAATATTTTAGAGGGCCGAATAGGTTAGACTTGCAACATTAGTTAGACATATTGTATAAGTTATTTAAAAAAAAAGAATTAGTATAAAATGATTTAAAAAAACTAATTCGAACAAGAGAAGCCGGTATTTGGACAAGAAGCGCCCAAAATTTTGACCACTAATGCCAATGCGGAACACAAATACAGACTTACAAAACCCTTTAAAAATTTGGAATATATACGTTTTTTGTTTAATTTCGAAAGAAATGACGGTATAACTGTGCAGGTGCTGGTATTTTTCTCCAGATGGTTGTTTGATTTTTAAGCTTTTTTCTTATCATCGTTCATTTTCACCGATAAATAAAATGTATAACTGGAGTCACCTTTCCGGACGGATAACACCCCCCTGGATTCTCTAAAAATTTTATTGAGTATGTTTGTTGAGTTTTTTTTGTGGAGTGACACTCCGTGTTCCAATCTTTCTTCTCCGCTTTTCCGTTGTCTGGAACTTCTGGTCCCTTTTTTTCTCATTCTTGTCCGCCGCTCTCGGCTTATTATCTTTCTCTTCTACTCCGTCTGTTTTGATGTCTCATCCGCTTGTTTCTCCTTTAAGTACCTTCGTCTTTTCCATCTCTGCTCCCGGTTGTTTGTTTTGCTTACCTGACGTTTCTGATTTCGATTCTCCTGCATTCTCGATGGTTTAATTTACAGTACTTCTATTTCCTTTTTTGTTTTGTCTCAACCTTGATTTTTTTCCAATGTTAAGTTTTTGATTTTGGAAAAATCCAGGCTTTGATTCGGTCAGCGCCCTTCATTTCCAGCTGGTTGGCCATTAAGCCCATCCACTCTCTTAGTGAAGGTGCTTCTTCTTTTGTTGTTGCCCTATGAGTGACTTCTTTCTTCTCATTTATAGTCATAAGGGGGTTTTGTCGCAATTTTTGCTGCTAGTTTACCAAATTCTGTTCTGGTTGAGGATCTTGTTGGTGGAGACTTCTTTTTGATATCTTGTTTATTTCATCACAGGTTCAGGATTTGATGGGAACGAGGCTGAGACTTTGGTTTTCAACGATGAGGTTCTGGTAACGTTGAAGATGATTTCTTTCGATACTCCGCCTGTTCTTCTTCCGTGTTCTTTTGACTTGTTTTTTTTGAAGAACTCTTTTTTTTCTTGTTGGGTGAAGATCCTTTGCTGGATGATGTAATGGGTAGTTGTCTTTCTCCAGGTGGTTTTCTTCATTCCCCTTTTTGTCTGTTCCGACGGGATTTTTTGATTCCTAGGATTCGGTGTTTTTCTCTAATCAGTACGTTCTCCGAGCGTGACTTCTTTGATCTTTTTGTAATCTTTCTGACCAATTGGCCTTCTGATTATTCCTCAAAAAAACAATGGGCTGGTGTTTTTGGGTTTTCTATATAAAAACTCGATAGCTTACTTGTGCTGCGCTAATTTGTATGTCACAAAGTTACTTAGTCGAGTCGGTACGACAGCGAATCCTGGATTCTGTACGACTGCGATCCCACTGTTTCTTAAAAGTTTTGTTTATTTCCCAAAAGTTTGTGATCAAGATTTATCTTGAATATAGGTGAAGGTTCTTCCCTCATGGGTTTTGTGTTTTGTATTTTGTGTAGCGCTTGCTAGGTTTTTTAACCTTTTGTGGTATTTTAAGTGTTTTTAGGGCACCTGTCTTATTCTTTCCTCGCATTTTGTCTCCGGTGTCTTTTTCTGGTGATAATTTTTTGCTGCCAGTAAGTGTTAAGTTTTTGTTTCTCGAACCTTGGTATCTTTCTGATCGGTATCTGAATTGACGAATTCCAGATGGATCTCCTGAATGCATGACGTCTGAAAACCACCTCGTCCTCCGAACAGCAAATAAGGTCGTGATTTTGATCTGGTGTCAGTGGTGGCCCCTCAAGCTTCTTTTTGTCCTCTGAATTTGTAGTCAGTTTTTTGTCGTTTCAATTAAAATTGTTCTGGTTGAATGTTGATGCAAGTTTGGATAAGATGGTTTAGAGCTCCCCCCATGTGCTTTTCAAACGGTGAAAACTTTGTGCCGGTGGTTGGGCTAATCTAAAAAGATTTTAGAGTTCTGCCACTTCTAAAACTAGCTCAGTGTTTAATCTTGGGGTCAAGTTTCTGCACTACTAGTCTAGTTTTAATGTTTATAATAAGCGGTCTACCACCACTTTTGCCTTTTGATTGTCTAGCGGTGCAGTAGGAAGTATAACGCTATTGTTCTCACAGTGGGTTTGAAGTTTTTTTTCAGCTCTTAATTTTTCCAGCTTATTGAACCTGATTTTTCTCGGAGCCCCATTGTTCATTGAACACTTTTGCATAAATTCTTGAATACATCTCAGCCGTTTCAACCTTTATATTTGTTACAAATTCTATTGTTGGGTATTGGGTGTTTTTACAAATTCTATTGTTGGGTGTATATGGCAGCCAAAACTCATACCTTCTTTGCTAGCTCATCAGGCAGGGGTACTGAAAAATCAAATTGTACCTCTTCATTGGTGTTTAGTACTTTCTCTAAGTCGAAATGATGTTTTTTTTCTATTAGACTTGATATTTTGTTCTTTGCTATCTACCTGTTATGTAATTTTGTCCCATTGATGCAATAGACCAATGCATCTGAGGAAACAATATACCGTCTGCGATGATCAGCATAGCATAGGTTCTTGGGTGAGTCAGATGAATACTCTAAGAATTGATTCTTGCTCTTGCGTAGGCTTACTAACCTATCGTCGATGACTATACACTCGTTCCTAATGTCCTAAAGTGGACCCCAAAGGACTTTTCAAGCGTAGCTTGATCCTAATGTTGAAGCTTAATCCTCGTTCCTTAGCTTGTTCCATGTTTTTTTCTGTCATCGTTGGTAAGTGTTTCATGACCGGTTGCAAGAATCAGTTGGTGCGCCTCCGCCAGTTCCTGTTCTTTCGAGACATGTTTATCCGTGGTTCAATTGTTGTGAGGCCCGTTTTGTTCGATCTATCACCTGTTTGCGCGCTTGTTGATTTTTTTTATTAACGCTGTTTTCCGTTTCCGAGCCAATTTTTTGGTATTTGTATTCCGAACTGTAAATTGTTCTTGCGTTTCTCGTTTTTATTTGCTTGGTATAAGATCGTCTAGATCGAACAAAACAACTTTTTGGACTTAATACTCTTGAGTGCATACTTCTTTGGTACGTTCCCTTTTTCCTTTTTGTTTCCCATTTTGATTCGTTATACCTCCTTTATCAATTTCCTTGATTTCTTCCATTTGAATGTTCCATCTGGTTGAGTTCTTGTTTGAGACTCCTCCAAAGTGTTTCGCGAACGAAATTGTGGTTCTGATAACCTGATCGTTCTTCAAGAGATGTAATGAGTATGGTCTGCTTCCCCTACTTGCCGTTTTGGTCTCTCGTTCTTTTTTTGATTTCTCATTTTTCTTCACATGCCATAAATTGATTTATCACCTCTCAGGCTAGATTTTGGCAGACCTCCCCGGTTCGTGAGCTTTTCGGTATAATGTTTTTTTTGTGACACCGGGTAATTTGGTCCCTCTGTTAGGGTACTTTGCGAGACCATTTCGTCCTCGGTTTTGTCCATGAATGGTAGGTACAAGTTTTTTTGTCCTTTTCGTTTGATTTTTCGGTTTTGTTTATGTTAAGATTTTTGGCTAAATTTTTTTTTGAAACCTTTAGTTAATGCTCTTTTATGCACATTTCATTCGAAATATCTGAGCTCGCTTTTTTTGGCTAATTCAAAACTAGCACTAAAATGCTCAAAAACTTGAGCATACAAATCATTGCGGTAAATTGCGGGAAACTCCTCATTTGTTTTTTCTCTTTGCGTCGGGTTGACTGGATTTCGAAAAAACAATTTCGAGAGACACATTTTTTGACTAAGCCAAAAATTTTATATCAAAATTAAAGAACATTAGTTGTTCAATCCATCGGAATAACATTGATTGTTTTGTTTTAGAGTTTTTCGATGTTTTTTATGCGTTTGAAAAAGCTTGATAATTGGTAATTTTTGAAAACGATTTGGCGTACAGGCAGTATTTGAAAAATGCTGCTGACCAAACTGCCCTCAAAAGCTCAAGATTTTTTGTAGCTCATTTTCCCCCGTAGATAATCGAAAACCTTTAAAATTGCGATGCGTCGCACACTTCCTAAGTCTCCAAGTTTTGTCATAAATTTTAATTTCGGTAATTTCTATCAACAAGTATACATTTTTTAAATTGTGGTTTCGTGCGTTTTGTACCGGATGAATTTTTTGTTTCAGAATCATTCAATAATGGATCAATTGAGCGGCGAGCTCTAGTGTTTATAAGGTCATGTGATATATCGGTGCTGAAAAATTTTAAGTTGTTTGAACCTTTTGGAGGTTTTTATTTGCAATCGCTGCTGTCTTTGCAATTAGCAGGCTTGTCCTTTCTTCCTTTGTGTTGATTTTCAACCACTTTACTTCTTTGCAAGCAAATTTACATTTACTTCTTGAAATTGCCAAGTTTTCTAAAATTTTTATTATCCAATACAGTTTTCAGCGCCGGTAGATGGTCAGATTGTTTTCCTGGTGTAACCGTAAGAATCTCATCTAAGAATGCAAAACTATTCCGAAAGTTTGTTTGTGAAAAACCAATTATTTTTCTAAATCGGCTGGCGTATCTGTTAAATTGGTTTGTGCCCGTTGCTCTTCCCCTTATGAGGCTGAAATTGTCTTGTTACT